GAAATGTTGGATACTGCTGTGAAGAGTCTATGTTCTCAAGAGTTTGATGAAGTGTTATCAAAAGAGACAACTATTAAATTGGAATGGCAATTACGTACTATTATTACTATATTGGAGCAAAAGTGTCGAAAAATGTGTCAATTCAGACGTCCTTTCATTGATGGTATTAGACAAGCCACCCCCAAATACAAGAATGCACACATAGCAATCATGCAATGTGGAGGAGAAGTTTGAAAACCTAATTTTTCAGGACTTAATGAAACAGACAAGACTATCAAAAGCTTTAAATGCAATCACAATAATAGATTCCTTCTCAAACTCATTAAGAATACATTAAATACCGTTTCTAATGTTGAAAACCAGTATCAGACAAACGTTGATAGGGCCATTGCAGCATTGAAAGGTTTACTTGTTGCTGTTCCTGGACTAGCTAAAGCTGGTATTAAATTATTTACAGGGGTTGAGATTCCTCTTGGTGATTTTGGCATTGAGAGATCCTGGAAGTATTTCAAAGAAGCATTTTATATTGAACCAGTAGGCAAACCATGGTATGTGACCTGGAGACAGCTAATAATGTTGCAAGACAGCCTTGATAAATGGTGTGAACAAGAGTCTGCCATTTCAGTGAGCTTTAAAGAAAGAGTGCTTCTTGAGTATCTTTGGTATCATATTAGTTTGTGTTATTCTGAAAATGCAGCAGAGAATCAGGATGTCAGTGATGAGCTCTGGTTTGGCATTTTAGACATTATCCAGCAACTTGTACAGAAAACCTTTTCTTCAACTACTCAGGCTATTTGTTATTACATAGCATTAGACTCATTAAATAATGCTATCACTGAATCTATTCAATTCAAATCCATTGAAGTGTTATTGAGTCTTGAAGTCATGAATAATGAATTGTTTGTTATAACACCTGACAGTATTGCTGGTTATGGTGAGAATTATATATCAAGAAGAGTTAGCATGTACTATTATCTGAAAGAAAAATTAGGAGTTGAATCAAAATTGATATTGCAGTACTCATTAAATCAAATAATGACAAGTGTTCAAAACAATGAACAACAAAGCAAAGGGAAAGGGAAAGGAAAAAGCATTGAGAAACATCCAATTGATTATATCACAGAGGATCTAACATGTGCTATTATTTGTGAAGTAGTTGGTGACTTTTATCAGCTTACTTGTCAACATGTTATTAGTTCAAAAGCTCTTTTGTCATTAAACAACCTGGAGTGCCCATATTGCAGAAGTGAAATCAGAAGGGATAAAGTGTTCTATATGCCACAACAGACAATATACAATAATGTTCAACATTATATTGCAGATACTGATCATCAAGGCATTTATACTGGCAACTGCACTAATACAGATATAAAAGTATTTGATGAGGGTGATGACCTTAAAAGCCAGAAAAGGGAAAATAGAATGAGAAAGAATAGTTCTGAACCTACCTGGAGTTTAATTTGGAAATCACTAACAGCATCAAAGAAGCTGAATGTAGACAAATTGTTTCAAAAAGCCAAAGCTGCATATGAGAATGATAAGTTGGAAAAGGCTTTGGATATTTATACACAAATATTACAAGATAATCCTGCAAATTATCAGGCCCTGTGTAATAGAGCAATGATAAAGATGAAAATGGAAAATTTCGGAAAAGCCCTGTTTGATATTGAGACAGCAGTTGAAGTAAACAAAAGTTATTATGATGCTTGGTACTTAAGTTTAATGGCGCATTTAAGTTTGGGGAATAAGAAAGGAGCTGGACAAGATATTGAGCACATTAAACATTTGAAAATACAAGAAAAGGTCTTTGATGTAATTAGTGAATATGTAAATGAACTTGAGCACTTTGATGTGGAATGGTTTAAGATTCTTGTGGATAGTCATTCTTTCAGAGCAATAAATCAGTTAAATGATATCAATCAATGGCAAATACTGTGTAACCATCAGTATGGAACAGATGATTATACTAGATGGTACAACACTGCTGTATCTTGGTATAAGGAGCATAACAATACTTGGCATAATAACTACAAAAATACAAACGCGTTTTTTGAAAAAGTTTATTACATGCACAAAAGTAAGGGTTGGCAATGATTACATAATTATATATTAATATTATTATGCACACTAATTACTATTATTATTAGGTCATTTGAAAGCACATTTCACATATGAAAGTCATCTTAAATGTTGGAATAGATGCGCATTGTAAGTAGTTTGTAGTGATTGTTGTTTTGATTGTACTACTAATATTTATCATTTAATAGTGCCTATAATTATGAATATTTGTACCTCTATGAACCTAACAAAGTAAGCGTATAATCATTATTATTTATCAACGTTGGTATACGTTGTGAATATTAACTTAATAAGCAATATTAGGTAACAATACCAATATTTAAAGTACCTCCAAATAAATACAAACTCAGCATTTTTTTGTGGAATGACTGGGAGTCAGTGACAAGTACAATTACAATGGAAGTAAGTAGCGAATAAAATTGTTGATTGTAATAGTTTCATTGTATGTATTAATATAAAATATTTTGATTTGTAGATAACAATAAAAACACCGACTGAAGAAATACAATATAAAACGGACGTTGAATATTACCGCTACGGTGAATGCATTTTACCATGTGCGGTTAATGTTTTGTCTGAAAATGACATTATTATAGACATTGTTGTTTCTAATGTAAGTATGGTTTAGGTTATTTATTGACATGTATTCAATTATTCTAACTCTTAACATTATTTTAGTCAGGGATCGGTCTCAATTGGGTTTGTTTATATTCGGAAGAGAAGTTAAACATTTTGGAACGTAACTTGAAGGTTGAAACATTCCCAACTACTGGTGTTAAAGTGGTTGATTATGAGCAATTTTTTGGTCCTACTGAAACATATGCGATATATTAATGCGAATATTGTTGAAATCGATTCCGTATTTTTTGTTTTATGTTATGTTATATTGGTATTAAAATATTTTTATTTACCCAACTCTTTGGTATTTTCAAATAAATACTTATGCATAAACCAAGAAGTATTTGTATTGTATTCAGCACACCTTGCTTATTCGTTAAACCAGGTGCCGATGATGTCGAACCCGAAAATTATTTTACATATTAATATTAGCATCTGTCTTCATGAATGACGTACGTAGTAGGTAATGGCTACGCACAAATGTTGAGCGTAGTGCAATAGCCGATCATGTTTTGATAAGTGTCCACGAACGGCAGCTTTTGTGGTAATAATAGAAATACGCATCAAATGTAAACATTGTGTAGAGTGCCGGCGAAAAAAAGTTCAAACCGCACGGCACAATTATTATTACAATATAGAAAAAGCTCTTGTATAGACAATAATATTATCGTTAAACGAGCGAAAATCATGAACTTGAATGTAAATAGTCACATTCGCAATTTATCGTTATTTAAATGGTTCACATCCTAAACTTTGTTAGAAAGGTCTATTCCTTAATGTCAACTATTTCTGAATTTGACAAATGGTGATAATAATAATGATAATCAATTGTCAATTTAATGGAAACCAGTAAATTCCGTAATGTAAGGTGAATGTTTCCTTGAAATAATGTCAATATAATGTACAATTTACTTAACACAACTTGAATGTTGCTTGACATAAATACAGTAGTAGCATATTGAAAAGCGTATCAATAGACCAAGTCCGATTGTATAAGGAGTCGAGGTATTTCCTATATTCCATATCGGGTATAATATCATTCGCTTGACATCGATCTTTGTTGAATGCGTGCGGCAATTTGATGCAGTTAGTTGCATAGTTATAAACCCGTTGATAACATACGTACATTTGTAGCCCCGCTTGTCACCCGTTGTTACTTTTCCACTTTCCCTCATCCGTGTCGTATCTTTCCTCTTCAACACAAACACTTTATACTCTTCAGCATTAAACGTCTAAATATATAATTTCGAGTCGCTACGATAACTCTCTGGAGTACCCATACAAACGTAGATCGCGCATTCAAAATAGACCCGGTCCCAGCCGCATGCTCAATCACCCTGCCAAATCAGACAGTTAAAACCGTCCATCGTACTCTGTATCCACCATCATCACGTCATATGACCTCACATATTGCCCAGAGACGAACGGCCTTCTTCATAGAGACAGTTATTGCAATTCTTTTTGGGCAAGTGATTATCCACAGCCAATGGAGATATTTTGTTCTCGAACAGAACGGTTTGGTGTCAGGCAAGGCGAATAATGGAGTTACGTCATTTCGTAAGGTAAAGTACGAATGAGGTCTTTGAATGCCATACATTCGATTGACTTAATCCACGGTCATATGCATTTGAATTAGTTGATTAATTCGTCGAATTGCATTTCGCCTGCTGTAAGAATTCATGAACTCTTTCCTGTAACCAATTTACAAGTAAATAATCTCAGAATAAACTCGTTCTCTACAACTTACACTTGTAAAACAGGCGTAAAAAGCAACTTATCCGCCGTATATAACGGCCAATTCTTTTTCCCTTCACTTTCTCTCGTTCTCTCTTGTCTCCTCAAACACTTTAATATTACTCAATAAAGATCATTGACCATCCTAGCCCTATCTGAGTTAACTATAACAATCTTACAAATACATCCGCCAAAAAGTAATGTCGACAGTCACGATATCATAACGTTAGCAATAACCCGAGGCAAACGTCCTAAGTAACGCATTGAAATCCAGAAAACTTCAATACATACTTACTATACTAACCGTATCATAGCAATAGGAATAATGATAAGCTAGAGAGTAGAGCATATTTACTCGAGGTTCGTCCCTATGCGTGTCTATGGAAGAACGCGCCAATTAACGCTGAATTATTTTGGAACGCAGCGCAACGAGTTGTCGTGGTCTGATCTGTCTAGTAAGAATGTCGAAGTGTGATGTAAAACTTGATTATTGTGAAGAGATGAGAATACCTAATAAGAAACTAAAGAAAGGTAAAATAATCGCTGATGCCCCTTGGCTCTCCCCCGATTCACCTGACTTTGATGTCCACTGTGACTGTTGCATACGCTAACGCTCTGATTATAGTGACCAAAGCGTTAAGGTTAGAATTCTTTGCAAATGAAGTAAACCTACTCTTCTACCGACAAACCATAGGGTGCAAAGTTGACAGTCAACACGACACCCAAACATATTATATTAACAACATTCCGATATTTGACTCATACTCTAGCTTCATATCTTAGGTATAAGTTTCACAGTCAAGTAATTCTGTTAACGTACTTTGGTAATAAGCGAACGAAGATTAAGATATGGTTGCACGTCTGCAGAAGAAGCCATGACTGTGCTCATATTAATATTAATATTCTTCTGGCTAGTATAAATATTTAAATTCAAATTTAAATTAGTACGTACGTTATATAGTTTGCGGAGACTATTCAAGTGGTCTGGTTGTAGGATCTTGAAAGAAGATATTATTTGCAGATTGTTATTATTTTACCAATCATGGGACAAATCTAAATCAAATTTAATAAATTTGTGCGTTTGTACTTCGATTTGTAACACCTAATACGAATACTAACTGAATTTGGCAACATGCCAGGTCGCGCAAACTGACACACGTAGTAGTACTAGTACAGCTCATAATATTTTATTTATGGAGCTATATAGCTAAGCGTCTAATGTTTGAACCTTACAACATCTTATGTTACTATTACTACTATGTCATGTCGTCGGAAAGAATGTATTCGTAACGTATAACGTGCTTCTTTGGAGACATAGACTTGAATGGCTCGTTTACAAAATTGAGAAGATATTTGCCTTGAACGAACGGTCTCGATCTTAATTTCCGTTTAATGTCATATACATTCATACCCCGTTTATATCCCCCCTTTCGTTCAGCCAAAAGTGGGGATATAAGCGGGGTGGGGATATAAACAGGAGATGATCTCGTACTCACATGACAAGAATCGTGAGAATAATTATAAGCAATATATATATACACTCACTGGACAAAAGTCTACGTAATTTTTGTCGATCACATAGTAAAACATATGAAAAATCTATTT